TTATTATTATTATTATTATTATTATTATTATTATTATTATTAATATTTAAAGACGTTTGCCGACGTCCCTGACCGCTGGGGGCGCCCCCTAAACCCACCCGCGTCGACCCCTCGGGGGGGGGAAAAGTGGTCCGGGCCCTCCCCTCCCCCCCTTCGCGGACGTTCGCCCTCCCCCCTCCTAGGCTAGGCCCCTCCCCCGCAACGTCTCCTCTCTGGGGAGGGGTGGGCAAAGGGGCCCGGTCGACTGCCCAGGTCCGCCCCGCAAGGCGGAGCCGGCGGCCGTCAGCTGAGCCTCCGGGGCGAGTCAGCGGCGGGCAGGGCTCCGGCTTCGTCATCGCCCGCAAAGAGGCACCCAAACAAGCCCGCTAAAGCTTCCCGGCCACCGGGGAGCGAAGCAGCGTTGCCCGCAGCCCAGCGCGGAGACCCAAAGGGCCGCTGAGTCGGGAGCCCCCCCCAGAAGGAACCCCCAGCAGCAGACCCCGACCCACCTGGGCAGGTGAGGGATGCCGGCCTGGAGCCCCGGGAAAGGGAGGTGAGCCGGGCAATGCGAGGGGAGGGGGGGTCTCTCCGCCAAAGGGGGACCCCCTCCCCCCAAAGGAAGGCGGAGGATGGGGGGGAGGCCGACCCATCTCAAGGTTTCGTTGGGACCCCGGATCCTTGCTCGGCTTCCCAGTCTGAATCCCTGGAGCCCCAGACATCTCTATGAACACGGGGGGGGGGGGGGGTAGAAGACCCTCCCTCGCCTTTGGCCAGCTCCCAATCGGGGGGGGGGGGTGTCTTCGTCCCTTCCATAGCTGCGCCCACCCAGGACTACACCTCCCCAAATCCCCGGCCGCTGTGACTGGGAAGCCCACAACTCCGGAGCCTTAAAAGCTTACAACAGCCTAGTTAGGTCGGACAAACCTTTGGCCCCAGTTCTGGCTACGTTCAGGTATCCCGGGGCTAAACAGACCAGCAAACCCAGCCTCCCCAAAGCCTGCTTAAGGTGGTCGGCTTGATGTCGGTCTGTTTGGCCGCTCAGCCTGAAAACAACACAAGGTCTTTTCAGGACGATTTCGAAAGCAAAATAAATGTCCTGGGTCAATCTTGAACTCGCTTCTTTCCTTGCGCGGGTGAATCACCAAGGCCTTTCTTTTCCTGCTAAGTTATCTTGATCTATTTTTTTTTCTCAACCGGCTGTAAAAATTGTGGGGTGGGGTGGAGAGGCTTCTTTGGCAGCCTATTTTGGGGGGGGGCTGATTCAAAGGCCAAAGTCTTCCAAATTGGGGGGGGAGAGGCAGTTTTTCCCCCCCTTCCATGCTGGCCCAGCGTTTTCAACTTGAAAAGTGCTGATAAGGTTTGATTGTGGCTCCTGAGTCAGCTGATGCTTGGGTCACATGCGAACATCTGGATGAGTCACAGCTAGAGAGGAGAGGGGGGTCCCCAGCCCAGGTCCCCTTTTCCAGCCCAGCCTGGGGAATTCACCTCCACCGCAAGCGGTCCTTCAGACCAGCCTCAGATATACTGCCACTGAACAGGGCGGTTCCAGTGAATTAAATCGGTCAGTTTAGTCTTTTAAATATTGGAACAGAAGCTGGAGGCAAGCTAGGATCGCAATATTTATTTCACAACCTGCTTAACGTTCACGGGAGAAGAACTAGAATATATATATTTTTTAAATGCAAAGTTCCATTCTAGGAGAGACTGAAACAGTCCAGGGGAAAGAATGGAAGGAAAATGCGTATTTTCTTTCTTTATTTTTTTTGCCATTCACGAATCTCAAAGAGAATCCCTTCTCTCTCCTTCCTTTTCACAGGTTCCCGGTTCACAATGGACAGGGCCTTTTTGAATTTCCAGTGACTCCCAGTGCTTCATCCCCTGCCTGAGGCCCACCATGTTTGCTCATCCTCACAAGTTCGGCTTCCCCAGCGGGAACGCCTCGGATTGTGTCAACGGTTCGGAGTGGATCCTGTCCGTCTTCCATGAGTGTGCTCAGGATGGCCGGGACGTCGCCAGCGTGGTGCTGGGCCTGGTCTCCATCGCCTGCTTTGCTGGGGCTTCCTTCCCGTAAGTGGGGGGGGGGCTTCACTCGGCATCTGGAGCCAGGCTGGGAGATTTGTGCTTGGGGTGCTAGTTGGCTGGCTCCATCCTTCCTTCCTTCCTTCCTTCCTTCCTTCCTTTCTTTCTTCCCTCCCTCCTTCCATTCCATTCCATTCCATTCTTCTCATTGTCTTCCTATGCTTTATTTTTCTTTCCTTCTCTTTCTTTCTTTCTTTCCTTTCTTTCCTTCCTTCCTTCCATTCCATTCTTCTCATTGTCTTCCTATGTTTTCTTATTTTTCTTTCCTTCTCTTTCTTTCTTTCTTTCTTTCCTTTCTTTCCTTCCTTCCTTCCTTCCTTCCTTCCATTCCATTCTTCTCATTGTCTTCCTATGTTTTCTTATTTTTCTTTCCTTCTTTCTTTCCTTCCTTCCATTCCATTCCATTCTTCTCATTGTCTTCCTATGCTTTCTTATTTTTCTTTTTCTTTCTTTCTTTCTTTCTTTTTCTTTCTTTCCTTCTTTCCTTTCTTTCCTTCCTTCCATTCCATTCTTCTCATTGTCTTCCTATGTTTTCTTATTTTTCTTTTCTTTCTTTCTTTCTTTCTTTCTTTCTTTCTTTCTTTCTTTCTTTCTTTCTTTCTTTCTTTCTTTCTTTCTCTTTTTCCTTCCTTCCTTCCTTCCTTCCTTCCTTCCTTCCTGTAGCAAGAGGCCTGCCTTCCTTCCCTCCTTCAATTCCATTCTTCATTGCCTTCCTGTTTTCATTGTCTTCCTTATTTTTCATTTCCTTCCTTCCCCTTCCTTCCTTCCTTATCGCAGTAGCAAGAGGCCTTCCTTCCTTCCTTCCTTCCTTCCTTCCTTCCTTCCTTCCTTCCTTCCTTCCTTCCTTGATTTGACTTGACAAATATGTGGCTGCTCATGGGGGATAACAAAATGAAGATGACTCGTTTCCTGGGACCGGCTGGGTGTCCTGCCACGCCTGGCTGTGGGCGGCTTTTGAAATATTCCCTCCAGCAACGCCAGGAAGCAAAGAGCTGTTGTGTTTCAGCGGCTGCAAAAAATAAAATTTCTCCAAGTCTCTTCTGGGGTGGTTTAGCTTCATCCTCTGCAGAATGACATGATAAGGGGGGGGGGACACTTGCCTCATCCCCAGATCCTGGACTCCAATCCCCATCGCCCCCAGCCCCCCATAGTATAATTTACTGGTCACGGCTGACTCTGTGCTCCCTCTTGATTCTTTCTTCCTCCACCTTTCCATGCAGTCAGTTCTACCTGGCTTGTAAAACCGGCATTATGGACCAGGCCTTGTCCGTTTACTTCCTGCTGGGATGGCTGGGAGGCGATTCGCTGAATTTAGTGGGATCTTTTTTGGCTAATCAGCTGCCACTACAGGTGAGAAGCTAAAAAAAACAGAGTTTAACCTGGAGGGTTCTGCTGGTCCCGATCCCTGATCCTGAGAAAATGCCCAAAGCCATAACTGCCGGGGGTCCTTGGGATTCCCCTCCCCTCCCCTTATTTAGCCCTGCCTTCAAGCCAAGAGTTCCAGAGGTTAAAAGAGGTTCTCTCTTCATTATCCCAGAATTCCCTAAGCTTCTCCTTCTCCTTCCCTAGGTTTACACCGCCATTTACTACGTGCTGGCAGATCTGGTCATGATCTCTCTCTACGTCTATTACAAAATCAAGAACCAAAACAGAGTCTGTAAGTTGGCGTCCACCGATTTGGCACCAGGTGGCAAAACACACAAAACTCCCGTTTCTGAAATCGTCCTGTTAGGTCTCCCCAAGATTTCGATTCTGAATCAGGACTTCGACACAAAGAACTCTTTGGATGCTAAGCTGGGGGTAGGGGGGACAATTGTGGTTTTCTATCTAGGCATGCAGGCAGACTTCTTTCCCCTTTTGATAATGGGACGCTCTTTAAAATGGAGAGATCTCTACCTCCTTCTGGAACAGGAGAGGAACAGACAGCGGTTTTATTAGGAAGCACGTCTCTTGATCAAGAGGATTGGTTGATCCCGGTGCCCCTAAACCGGAGTCTCCGGGTTGCCATGAGACCACACATCCTCGCACCTGTAATGCCCTTTGAGCCAAAGTTGAAATTGTGTGAGACGTCTGCTACTCGTACTAAGCTTTTCACGCACTTCCCGTGGGTTATTTTGAACAAACATCCTGGGTTCCCCTTGATCTTATCTCTTTCTGTTTCAGATCTGTTAAACCCCCTAAAGGTTTAATAATAATAATAATAATAATAATAATAATAATAATAATAATAATAATAATAATAATAATAATAATAATAATTGGAAGGGACCTCAGAGGTCATCTAGTCCAACCCCCTGCTCAGTCAGGAAACCCTATACCATTTCGGACAAATGGCTGTCCAGTCTCTTCTTAAAAACTTCCAGTGTTGGAGCATTCACCGCTTCTGGAGGCAGGTTGTTCCACTGGTTGATTGTCCTCACAGTCAGGAAGTTTCTCCTTAGTTCTAGGTTGCTTCTCTCCTGGATTAGTTTCCACCCGTTGCTTCTTGTCCTGCCTTCAGGGGCTTTGGAGAATAGCTTGACTCCCTCTTCTTTGGGGCAGCCCCTGAGATACTGGAAGACTGCTATCATGTCCCCCCTCGTCCTTCTCTTCATTAGACTAGACAGACCCAATTCCAGCAGCTGTTCCTTATGTGTTTTAGCCTCCAGTCCCCTAATCATCTTTGTTGCTCTTCTCTGCACTCTTTCCAGAGTCTCAGCATCTTTTTTACATCCTGATGACCAAAACTGGATGCCATATTCCAAGTTTAGATCTAGTCGATGGCACGATAGCAACTCCTATGGCAGGGGATGATGGCTCTGCTTTCTGCTGGTATTTCTCCTTTGCGAAGCATCTGTCAGGAAACAATTACGCTGACATCACAAAAGCCAGTTTCCCTTTTAGTAAATTGTCTGATGGGACCGACAAAAAAAAAAAAAGAAGCGAAGCAAAGACAGACTTTTTAACCTCCAGCGTTATCTCCCTTTTCTCAGTTTCGGCTTCGATCAATGCCGTCTTCGCAGTCGCGGTCCTGGGAACCACGTTGACGCCTGCCTGGCAGGGAGATCCTGCCTCTTCTCACCTGGGTGACGGAGGGATGTTTAAAAGCCGGAGACTTCTGTCCTCTGCAGACTACCCATCAGGCTGGGAGGTAACGTTCTTCTCTTTTGGGCAGAACTGATCTTCAGTGTCTTGCAAAGACCAAGCTTTGGGTTCAAGATCCACAGACAGTAAATCCCATCAAAATGGTGGCGATAGAGGTTAGCAGTAGTTGGGGATTATGCTAAAGCAGGGGTCTTCAAACTTGGCCCTTTGATGACTTGTGGGCTTCAACTCCCAGAATTCCTCAGGAATTCTGGGAGTTGAAGCCCACAAGTCATCAAAGGGCCAAGTTTGAAGACCCCTGCGCTGAAGTTGACGGAAGCCCCGGCCTTCTTCCTGGAGACCCCAGTGGACACAGGAAACTGAACGCCCAGCAAAAGAAGCTTGGGGAAAGGGCCTGGCTGGCCCTGATAAATGCCAGTCATTTTGTGGCTCCCCCTGGTTGTGCAATAATTGCTTTTCACAAATGGAATTTCTCCCCCAAGTTAATAATTATTTCTAAATGTCTATGGAGATTCTCCGTCATCCAGGTCATACTTGTCCCAAAGGTGTTTTTTTCACGAGGCAACTGGACTTTCTTGTTTTTTCTTTGAAGACGTTTCACTTCTCGTCCAAGAAGCTTCTTCAGATCTGACTGGATGGTGGGGAGTGGAAGGATTTATACTCCTTGCAGACAGCCGGTCATTTGCATCCTTTTAGAGAGTCGTTGAGGTCAGGTGGAGGTTTATCTGCCCTCTTTGACCCCTCTTTCAAACCAGTGGTCCTCTCTGTCCAAAATGTTGATTTTGCTGTCTTTGAAAGAGTGGCCTTCGTCTTTTTAAATGCAGATGGACTGCTGAATCTTGTCCCGATCGGTTTGTTCTCCAATATTGTGCCATATGCCAAAGTCCACATTTTGGACAGAGAGGACCGCTGGGTTGAAAGAGGGATCCAAGAGGCCAACTAGGTCAAAATGCCCTGTGTCTCCAGTCTACAACACAGTCCTTTCAGCAGTTCCAAGAAGGCTCCACACCCATTAGCTCTACTCAGCTGACCTTGAGGATACAGATAAATCTCCAGGTGGCCTCAACAACTCTCTAAAAGGATGCAAATGACCGGCTGTCTGCAAGGAATATAGATCCTTCCGTTCCCCACCATCCAGTCAGAGCTGAGGAAGCTTCTTGGATGAGAAACGAAACATCTTCAAAGAAAAAACAAAGTCCAGTTGCCTCTTGGAAAAAGCATCGTTGGGACAAGTCTTTTCTAAAGTTAAAAGTTTACCCCTTGGGTGGGAAAAATATTAAGACAAAGATTAGTGTTGAATTTGAGGTGGCAGGTGGATTCAAGGGAGGGACAAAGGGTGATCAAACTAACGCCATGGACCAAATCACCTGTTGGCGAGGTTTCCCATTCAGTTACTTCAACCTGTTTCCTCCTGGATCCCACAATGCCTGCTGGGACGTTCTTTCTGCAGCATTCCATGACCGTTGTGTCTTTCCACAGCCTTTCACCCAAAGGGAGATATGCGGCTTTGTGATCGGATCCACTTCTTCGGTGCTCTACTTGCTTTCCCGGGTCCCTCAGATCTACACCAATGTAAGCGTTGCTTCAAGGGGAAGGGGCAAGGCCCACTTCAGAAGGGAGGGGCATATTTCAGGGAGCAGATCACCTGAAGAGGCCCCCAGACTCAATTTCCAGCTTTCTCCAGGGAAGCAAAAAATGTTTTTCAAGGCAGGGGTCTCCAGTCTCGGCTGCTTTTAAGACTTAGGGACTTCAACTCCCAGAATTCCTCAGCCAGCCATGTATGGCTGGCTGAGGAATTCTGGGAGTTGAAGTCCACAAGTCATAAAAGGGCCAAGTTTGAAGACCCCTGCCCTAACGCCTCTTTTGGAGCAAAAAACAATATAAGACCCTGTCTTATTTTGGGGGGGAAACACGGGGTTACTTCCAGCCCCGAGCATACAGTCGCCAAGCCTTGTGCTGTAGCTAAAAGCCGAATATCTGAGCTCTGTTGGAACAAAACTGGGGATTTTAAGGCTGTCCACACCCCCTGCTCTGATTAAGACAAGGAGATCCCATATACTGGTGCATCATCCTTGCTTCACTTCAGCTAGCTGTGCTCCCAGTGAATTGTGCAACCGAGTAAACTGGCTTAATGTAATAATAATCACAATTAAGGAGGCTGGGCGAAGCCTGCCTGTTGGATTGACGACCCAGGAGCTTCTCAATTTCCTCTCTGCCTTGCAGTTCAAGCGGAAATGCACTACCGGGATCTCCTTCTCCCTTTTTGCTCTGGTGATGCTTGGAAATTCGCTCTACGGCCTCAGCGTCTTAATGAAAAACCCGGATCCGGGGCAGACGGAAGGCAATTACGTGATCCACCATTTGCCGTGGCTGATTGGCAGCTTGGGGGTCCTCTCCCTTGACATCGTGGTATCCTTTTCTGGAATGGGTGGCGGTAGTGGTGGGGTGTGTGTGTTGGGGTGTTTCTGCCTTTAAACGTGCCAAGTCCAGATTTGGTGCGACAGAATCCCTTAGACAGGCAGGAAAATAGGAGAGCGCCATAAGCTTTTGGTTCAGACTTTCTGAACTGCAGTCAACGGTAGCGTCAGAGTTGAGGTGGTAGCAAAAACAGTCCTGGGTCAATAGCAATAGCACTTAGACTTATGTATCGCTTCACGGGGCTTTTTACAGCCCTCTCTGAGTGCTTGACAGGGTCAGCCTGTTGCACCTCCAACAATCTGGGTCCTCATTTGGCTGACCTCGGAAGGACGGAAGGCTGAGTCAATCATGAGCTGGTCAGGATCGAACTGCTGGTAATGGGCAGAGTTTGCCTGCAAAGCTGCATTCTAACCACTGCACCACCATGGCTTCCTTCCTTCCTTCCTTCCTTCCTTCCTTCCTTCCTTCCTTCCTTCCTTCCTTCCTTCCTTCCTTCCCAAGCAATAAGACTTATGTACTGCTTCACAGTGCTTTGCAGCCCTCTCTAAGCGGTTTACAGAGTCAGCCTGTTGCCCCCCAACAATCTGGGTCCTCATTTGACTGATCTCGGAAGGATGGAAGGCTGAGTCAACCTTGAGCCAGTCAGGATCGAACTGCTGGCAGTGGGCAGTCAGGCTGCAATGCTGCATTCTAACCACTGCACCACCATGGCTTCCTTCCTTCCTTCCTTCCTTCCTTCCTTCCTTCCTTCCTTCCTTCTCATTTCCCTCCCTCCCTCCCTTCCTTCCCAAGCAATAAGACTTATATACTGCTACACAGTGCTTTACAGCCCTCTCTAAGCGGTTTAGAGTTACCGTGTTGCCCACCAACAATCTGGGTCCTCATTTTACCCACCTTGGAAGGATGGAAGGCTGAGTCAACCTTGAGCCGGTCAGGATCGAACTGCTGGCTGTGGGCAGAGTCAGCCTGCTGCTCTTATATAGTAACAGCACTTAGACTTATATACCGCTTCATAGTGCTTTACAGCCCTCTCTAAGTGGTTTACAGAGTGTCCAGCACTTTTTTGCTTTGCCAAGTGGGTCACTTAATGCAGGTTTGTGCCTCCAGGTCCTTACTTTAATCTGTCTTCTCTCTCTCTCTCTCTCTTCCTCTCCCTCCCTTTCTCTCTCTCTCTCCGTCTCTGCCCTTCCCTTTTGCAGCCTGTGTTCCCTACAGTTTTCTCTCTCTCTCTCTCTCTCTCTCTCTCTCTCTCTCTCTCTCTCTCTCTCACACACACACACACACACACACAACCTGTCTTTAGCCCTTTTGAGGCTGCTGATGATGAGAAACCATCTTTTTGAAGTATTGGCTAACAACTACTATAACTTGGTAATTAACTCGGCTGCCCCAATTCTGCCCTGGCACGCACTTGCCCAGAGATTTCAGCCCCGTCTTTTAAACAAGGCAGCAAACACGGGAAAAGATCTTCCTGATGTTTTAAGCCTTTCAGTCCCAGAAGCAGCAAACCTTAACTCTTCGTCTTCAGATTTCGTTCCAGTTCCTGGCCTATCGCCGGAGGAGGCTGCCGGTCCTGGAAGAGAGAGACGCCCTCTTGGGCCGAGAGGAGGACTCCGTGGAGAGCTGAGCGGCACCAGGATCGGGTCTTGGCTGCGTTGGGATTCCAGCAGCGGGTTTTGGAGTCCGCCTGCGACTCTAGAAAGCCCTGGCCTTTCTCTGCTCTAGAAAACGCTCCGCCTCTGGAAAGTCGCGCCTTACGAGATCATGTCCTACCTTCTCCAGAGATTATTCCTTTGGGGGGGACGGGGGGGAAGAGGGGAGGAAAAAAAACACGGAAAAATGAACATTGAAGCACGAGACTGTATGGACTACAATGACTCACCTCTGATTCCCCAAAGGGAAAACTTGTTAATTTATGAAATAGAACTCTTGGGGGGTGGGTGGGGAAAAAACCCCCCAAACCCCAAGGAATTCAGTACCCAGCAGCTGGCTGCCTGCCTGGGCCTCGTTGAGGCTCGGGAATAAAAAAAGTCTGGGAGGGGGGGCTGTCTTTTTTTCACAACAATGGGCATTTTGGGTAGACATGGAGAAATAAATAAAAGTATTCCCACCATCCCAGCGTGAGTGGATATGGGTTCTTTGCTTAACCCTGTAGACCAGGGCTCCCCAACAACCACCACCCACGGTCCGTGGACCGGCTCCAGTCCCCGCCACGCCAGATAACTGGGCCACGCAAACAAGCAAAGCCCCACCTGCAGGATGCAGGCAGCACGCAAAACCATGCGCCCTCCGGTCCGTGCGGAAACCTCTACACGGAACCGGTCCCTGGTACCCCAAAAGGTTGGGGGGGGGCACTGATGTAGATCCTCTTATCTTACCCTGGAAGCAGCGGTGAGGGGGCTTCAGCTCTCCCACCGCCCCTTTTTTTTTTTTTTTTTTGCAAAGCAAGGGCAGCTAAGAGGGAAGGAATCCTTGCTGCTTTTCAAATAACTCAGCAGAGTTTGTAAAAGTGTCCTCTGAGCCGGGCTATATTGCAGACATTTCATGACCCAAACTAGGTAACGTCATCAGGGCTAGTAAGGGGTGGGCTTTGCTGTCGGTTTATATTCTAGTGGTTTGCCCTGACAGGTTTTTTTGGGGGGAGGGGGTCTTAAGAGTTTGGTTAGGCTGTTTGCTTCTTCGGCAGTTTCTTGACTGGGGTCTTGTTCACTTGATGGCTGGTCGTGATGGAACTTCTTTACTTTCACATCATATAGACAGATTTCACCCTCGTTTCAGTTGGGAAAACGTGACCGTCCAAAAAGGCCAGGGGATTTCTAGAAGTATTCTGACAAATTAGCCCCCCGATAGACACCTAGACCTTCACGACTTCTGCATGCTAAAGCAGGGGTAGGCAACGTTGGCTCTTTTATGACTGGTGGACTTCAACTCCCAGAATTCCTGAGTCAGCAAAGCTGACTCAGGAATTCTGGGAGTTGAAGTCCACCAGTCATAAAAGAGCCAACGTTGCGTACCCGTCAGCTAAAGAGACAATCCACCAGCCCAAAAGGGAGCCACAAGGCCCCAGCACCTCTCCGCCAGCAATCGGCACCCAGATCAGCATAGATTAACTCCAAGGTTAACATCAAAGCAACAATCCAGTCAGCAAGACCCCCCAGTCAAGAAACTGCCAAAGAAGCCAACAGAATCTCTTTAAGACCACCCACAACCAACACGGACAGGGTGAGCCACCAAATTATCAACTGACAGCACTTCTTCTAACCCTGATGACGTTACCTAGTTGGGTCATGAAACGTCTGCAAGAAAACAAGCCAGCTCAGAGGGCACCAAGGACCCCCACAGTCCTTTGCTTCCTCCTCCTCCTCCTCTCCACAAACGCCACTCCTTCTAGCACTGATGACGTTACCTAGTTGGGTCATGAAACGTCTGCAAGAAAACCACCACGCTCAGAGAGCACCAAGGATCCCTACAGTCCTTTTCCTCCTTCCCATCTTCCTCTTCCACCCCACCCCCATCTCCTCCTCTCTGCATATTCCCCTTCCTTCCAACACTGATGACGTTACCTAGTTGGGTCATGAAATGTCTGCAAGAAAACCACCAAGCTCAGAGAGCACCCAGGACCCCTACAGTCCTTTTCTTCCCATGTTCCTCCTCCACCACCACATCTCCTCTCTGCATTTCCCCCTTCCTTCTAGCACTGATGATATCACCTAAATGGGTCATGAAACGTCTGCCATGAAACAAGCAAGCTCAGAGCGTACCAAGGACCCCTCATGTCAACCAATACTCTCCTTTATTAACGAGTTTGCAGAGCAGCACGTCTTGAGGCTTGCGACATGTTGAGGTAGACTGCCTCTGGCTGGAGAGGCTCCTTCCAGTTCCACTCCCTTCCCCGCATTATAAAACCTCTTTTTCCATACCTACAGGACTCTTGAGATGGGAAGCAGGTTCCTTTCCGTGAGGAGTCCAGGCTGGTGTAAATATTTCAGGCCAGCTGGCTCTAGAAAATACAAAACTTGAAAGGTAACAAAACTGAAAAGCCCAAAACTGCTAAGAAGCTGTGAGAAATGAGGTGGGGGGGGGCGGGGGGGGATATCATGAAAAAAAGGACTCAAAGGGACACATTTGCCAACCGGTGTCCACCTTCAGTCTGAACCGTCCAGTTTCTCAAATTCTTTCCCAACTGGCAGATGAGACACCCAGGATGATGCCAGGCTATGCTCAGGAGCAGACAAAGGAGAAAACGCCATTTCGGTTAAAAAGAGCATTTCATTTGAAGCACTTAGCCCAGTGATGGCGAACCTTTTAGAGACCGAGTGCCCAAACTGCAACCCAAAACCCAATTATGCATCGTCGGGTGCCATTGGGTGGGCGTGGCCCATTGGGTGGGCGTGGCTGCGGTGGTAATGGCAGACTGGGTGGGACTAAAAAGTTCAATCAATTCCAACTTTGCAAGAATTTTGCCATAGGTTCGCCACCACTGACTTAGCCCATCCCTGCCTCCCTCCCCCCCCCACAGGCTTCGACCTGCCAATCAAAGGCTGGACCCTTGAGGGTTGGGAACAGGCAGGCAGAAGGAATCAGACACAGCCGAGCATCCAACAACGCTTTTACATTTTTTTAAAGATTTTATTTTATTTTATTTTCCTGTTTTAAGTATGGAGGCTCAAGTAGAAGATGTAGATTCCAAGTTAAGCATTACATATTTAAAAAATAATAATAACCAGTCTTTCGCATTCCATAGAAATCAAGAACGAGTCAAAAGCAGCACACCGCAGCCTCTCGGGTGGAAAGCAGAACCGGGGCGAATCTCGACAGCTTTTCACAGATCTCCTTTTTGGGTGGGTGGGTGGGCAGCTGCCCCCCCCACCGTCCCCCACGCCCCCCGTCCTCCTTTCTCAACCTCTCTCCCAAACATACACCAAACACATTTTTCCACGATGGTTTTCTTCCTTCTTTCACAAACCATGGTATTTAATAAAGGTTTTTTTTGTTTTGTTTTGCTTCTTGTACATTTTTTACACCAATATAACAAAATATGGGGGGGGGAGCAGCAGGAGACGGGGCGCACCAAGAAAAAAAGCAAAAAAAAAAAGCAAAAAAAAAGAAACATGATTGGTGGAAATATGCAGGTCGAACATAAGGCCCAGAAGAAAAGGAGGGGCACAAATCTCAGAAGTTTCTCAAAAAAAGAAAATACGTTTTTGCAAGGCTGTGGCGATAAGACAGGGGAAATTAAGCTGCTAGAGACCACCACCACCCCCCTCAAAAAAAAAACACCACAGTTTATACAGCTTTATTTGGGATGGTGGGGAAATAAAATGGAGGTTTTTATTTATTTTTTAATGAGTAGAAGAATATCGTACGTGGGAAATGAAAATAACGGGGAGGAGGCCAGGAAGGAAAAAAAAAGATTCCTAAGAAAGGGGGGGGGGCTAATGAGTGCATGGCGTGTCTTGTTAGCATCGTCAAGGGGGGGGCGTATACTGGTTTCTAACTTTGCTGTTTCCTCTTCAATGCCTCCACCAGGTCGTTCTTCAGAGCCTCCTGCTTTGATTTGTCCGCAAATGTCTGCACAGACCTAGAGGAGAAAAGAGGCAGGGGGGGTTAAGGAGGAGAACGGGGCAGGGGGTGGGGTGGGCTGGGCAGCCCCCAGGAAGAGGGCGATGTGGCTGAGGACGGCGGTAGCTTCTGGTGAATTTTTTTTTCTCCCCCCAAGCAGCATCTCCGACACAACGTCCCTTCGACACGTCAGGTAGTGCTTCCCGCAATTCATAACCAGATCCCCGGAGCTGAGTTCCAGCACATCGTTAGTAGCATTCGGAGGGGGGGGAGAGGTGGTCCATCGTAACTTTCAGCGGTCATTAAACGAGGGCTATGTGTACACAGCAGCCTAGTCGGTGGGGAGGGGAAGGGGGGGCTGTTCCGGGGTTGAAATCAGTTGCAAAAACCACACCGGCAAACACACACACAGACAACCCCCCCCGTGTCTATCGCACTCTCAAGTGCAAGCAACTCCACACAGCAAGGCAAAGGGGAGCAAAGTCAGGTTTGTAAGGAGGCTTCCTCCATCATTTTCCTTAAAAAAATAATAATAAAAAATAAATAAAAACAACAACAGAACTTGCAAGAATTAGGAGTTAGTTGGTGTGAAGGCCGAGTCCCCCATGCGGACACTCTCGGTCGGGGTGAGTGGTGCTTTAGTGCCAAGGTGCCTTGTAAGCCAGTTTCAGCGGGGGGGGGGGAATGGGGGGGGCTGTACCTGAGCTGGTTTAGTTATCTGGCTGAATGTACATCTGCCGCTGGGTCAGAACCTGGGAGAGCTCCCTCTGCAACTGCTTATACTTTTGGTTGTCGGGAATAGCGTCAATTGATCTGGAGCGAGCGGGGTGGAGACGGAAGAGGGGAGCCAGCCGAGGAAGGAAAGAAAAGGTCAGACAAGTTTGGCAGAGAGAAAACGAGGAAGAAGGCAGAGTGGTGGCGTGTCTGTGTGTGTGGTCAAGAGGGGAGAGAGAGAGAGAGAGAGAGAGAGAGAGAGAGAGAGAGAGAGAGAGAGAGAGAGAGAGAGAGAGAGAGAGAGAGAGAGAGAGA